GCACGTTAAATACATTCAGAGTCTAGATACGAGGAAGGACGAATATGATTACTGGCTGACCGAACATCTTCGCCTCAACGGACTATATTGGGGACTTACCGCGCTCCATCTACTCCGACACCCGAACGCCCTGCCTCGAGACAAGACCATAGATTTCGTTCTCTCGTGCCAACATGAAAGTGGTGGTTTCGGTGCTGCGCCCGGCCATGATGCGCATTTGCTCTGCACTGTCAGCGCCGTGCAAATCCTTGTATTGGTAGATGCCTTGGACGAGTTAGAGAAGCGTGGCAAGGGTAATGGCAAGGCTCAAGTGGGCAAATGTGAGTCTCGATCAGTCATATCCCGGTCCTATTCGGTCGCTATCGGTGCGGCAGAGAGGCTAATCCATGTCTCAGTCATCGCGAACCTTCAAAACCGGGAAACAGGCACATTTGCCGGCGACGAATGGGGCGAAGAAGATACAAGGTTTCTTTACAGCTCGTTGAATGCACTGTCCCTGCTAGGTTTAATACACTTAGTCGACATCGACAAGGCGGTCCATTACATTGCTGCCTGCACCAATCCGGACGGTGGATATGGTGTCAGCCCTGGAGCCGAGTCTCATTCCGGACAAATTTTCACATGCCTAGCTGCTCTTTCTATTGCCGGACGAAAAGATCTCATCGATGTCGATAAGCTAGGTGGCTGGCTAAGCGAGAGACAGGTTGCCTGCGGCGGCCTAAACGGCAGGCCAGAGAAGGTCGAAGACGTATGCTACAACTGGTGGGTACTGAGTAGCCTGGAAATCATCGGTCGCACACATTGGGTCGACCGGGAGAAACTCATCAAGTTTACCTTGACTTGCCAGGACACCGAGCAAGGTGGTTTGTCAGACCGGCCTGGTAACATGGCCGATGTCTGGCATACTGTCTTTGGTCTCACCGGCCTAAGTCTACTCGAGTATCCCGGCGTTGAAGAGATTGACCCTGTGTACTGCCTACCAAAGTACACGACAGCCCGCGTGTTTGGCAGCGCAAAATAGCTAGGTACAAAGGTCTACTTCAGTGGCTTCTTGCTACCCGACTACTTCATGCACATGCCTGTGCCTATTGAATTCCGGTGCGCTGTCAGAGAACCGATGTCATTGTCTGCCGAATATTGGATTTGAGTAATTGGATCAGATCTGCCTTGCAGTCTAGCAACTCGTGACGCAAGAGTGGGTTGACACGTTTGAAAGCTTTCCTCTCCGCCCTGGTCTATCGTAGCATACCTACGCAGCTAGAGCTCGGATGGTTGCATTTAGACACATCATTCACTCATAGCAAGGAAGCTTCACTAGCACGGCCCGGGGTTCCAATCATCAAATGGTATCTTTTAATTATGTGTGTATGTATCACCCTTTATGCAGTATCCTGCGGCCGCTGCCCACAGTAGAAGCCGAGTCCATAGTCGTCCGTCGTAAAGGTAATCTTCGAGCCTTTGGGAAAGTAGAACACGTCACCGGGGACTGCGTGCACCTTATTGCCTGCTTCATCGCTTACGTCGAAGCTACCTTCGACAATAACCTTCACTATATGATTAAGAAACGTCAGTGACCTGTTTCTCGCTGCAAGGGTTCAATATATGAGGCTTACTCTCGTGATAGGTATACTCGTACACGAGCGGGGTGCCCTTCTCGAGACGATAGAACCCAGCTGAGATGGGCTTCGCCGGGTCGAGCTTCTCACTGTCGTAGAGTTAGCGACGACGTCTCTGCACTTTATATATATACTTGACTAGATAAGGATGTTTAGTAGAACTTACGACGACGAAACGTCTCCAAGGAACGCGTTTTCATTTGCGATCAATGGCGGCTTAACAGTTTGCGCCTTGGCATAGTGCGTCATTGCGACGGGGCCGGCAGGTGTTGAGTCCATCTTTGATTTAGCCTTGCTGATGATAGATCCCATTATACGTAGTGTACAGTTCTTCGTTAGGTGTCGGGGTGCGAGATACGGCTCAGAGAATGCTCAACACCCAAACATAACGAAGGGAACCTATATATATACATCATATTCATTTAGGAGCCTACGATCTACAACAAGCTTCGTATACCGAGTTCGGCCACAGCAGCTTTCTCCGCAGATATTCAATACCTCCGGTCAGGAGATAACAAAACTACTTACAGAATTTCGTAACACACGTGCGAATCGTGACCGAGCGGCATACATCTGGAACTTTCCCGTTTACGGCGGAGTCGTCGGCTCTGGTTGGACGCCCGCCCCTGCATTATCTCTCCCCAGCTCTAGGATCTGCAGCTAAGCCAGCCTTTAATTGGACAATTGGCCTCGCTGATTGGACGGGGATTATTCGGCATCGTAGCTCAGATAAGCTATACTCTGGGGTTGGGACGTTATCGCAGATGCAATGATGACAGAATCTATACCGACGTCGCCTCTGGAATGGTTTTCGTGACTATTGCCAACATCCGCTAGCGAATGGCGTTAGGGCCTCGGCCTGCTCGTAGAAGTCTTCGCATGGCAACTTGCGTTCTCCACACATCTTCTAATGATGCCCGCAGCACATATACCAACTAATTCTCCCAATATAATAGTCGAAAAAAGACTAGTGTTAAAATGCGAAATGATTGACCTTTTTCATGCGTTCTACAAGGTAGATTCTCAAGTTGGGTTGATTTTCAGCTCCACTCCCTAAAATACCATTAAGGCATACACTATTAGGATACGGAATTATGAAGTCCGAAATCTCTAACGATAGAATAGATCGACGAGGTCTAAATTTACAGCGTTCTTAAAGATCTTAGGTCGGGGTGCCTCTACTAATGGGCGATGTGTTCAACTACCTAGACAAGGGAGCAAAGTTGGCAAGTCAGGGTCCTTACTACAGTATCACTCTTAACTAACTGGCTCTCCGTGGTATGTTTTAAAAATATGGCAATCAGTTGTTTCTCATATACCTCTTCATATATCCACATATACCGAGAGCTATGCCCATAAAATCACACTCATCGAACGCAAGGAATTATTGGATCCCGTGAAATCACGGTAAACAATACCTCATTTATGGTGTGGTTGTTGGGTTGTCCCTTGGCGTAAGTAAGTTATCCTAGAAGGCAATAAAAACCCTTGAAACAATGTGATGTTTATTAAGCGATGAAGGGAGCTTTGCTACCGTTTATCGTAATGTGGCGATCCCGAGAGGGAGAGAGCGGCCTAAGTTGTATCACCAACAAATATTAACAAATCGGCCGAGAGGATGAATCCATATGTAGCTCTGGCTTGTAGATGTTAGACATGGGCCTTTGTCTATTACCAATCGCCTATGTTGCTAAATTACCTCGCTTAGAATTACTTCCCTCGACACTTAGTGTGTGCTAGTTGTATTCATGTAGCTTTCCGGTGAGGATGCCAGAGCCACAAGGAGAGTGTTAGGAGTCTGACCACTGGGGCCACTAGGGACCAGGGAGTCTATCAGAGTCTTCGGGGGCTTCATAGCCTGAATAAAGGAGGCTCTTCTATATGGACCCGGGACCTACCCGTGGCCGCTAGCTCGTAGATAGGGTTCCTTGTGCTACAACAGAGTTCTTTCCCATGCTTCTATAGTCTGCATCGTGACAGAGAGCAACTAAGACTTGGCGGTAAAGGGATTGAGATAGAATCTTTTGTTTTAACATGATATGCGTTTTTGGAAGGCAGGGCTATATTTAGTACGTAGAAAATCGAGTACCTGGTTACCTACTTCAGCCGGAAAGGTTTAGGGGGGATAAGGTAAAATGTGTTAGTTATAGAAAAATGTGAAAATAAAAAGGGGACTAGGCAAAGTGATATGGCCGCTGAGAAGACAATGAACCACAAAAATGCAAAATATTAGCATTTAATGAAGAACGGGAGTTCTACACGAGCTTACTATGGCAGCTTAGAGCTATATGATCATCCTACATGATTGATATGGCACCGCATTTCTCACTCCACAGTTTTTATTGTTGTTATCACTTCAGGTCCAGTGTTTTTCTAACTTTGGTGACAACAGCTATTGACTATCGTGGGAAATGGATATAATAGCGTTATTTTTGAGCGTAAGTGATAGTATTGAGACCAAGTAGGTGGTCTGGGCTTTCGGAGAGCCCATAGCTTTGATTCAGATTGCTCATACAGACATAAATCATTTGGAGTACTAGACTGCGCTTGAAGGAATGTTAAAAGTAATTTCTCCACCCTGGCAGACGTGATCTCTGCTGGACTGAATTGAGGCCATTCTCACTTGGATGTGACAATAACCTACTGTAACGTATCTTTAGCATTGTATAATATACTGTTCTTGGCTCTCTGTCGTTAGGCTGCGTACGAGGTCGCTTTCGAGTCAATTCTCACGAATGATGGTATGTTCGCTACGACGAAGGAATATGTTATTCGGCTGGAAACGTTGGATCTTCACTACACAGCCCGTGCCAAGGAAGGCAGGGTTTGTGGTGCAATCTATGAGCATCAACGTTGAGAAAGACTAGTATTGTCTTTATTAGTGCGGAAAAAGGTATGTTATGCTGCTTCCTGCTCGATCGAAGTATTGGTAACTGGATTGACATCCTTATACTATGGTGTGAACTCAAGGGGAGAAATATAATGAACAAGACCATCTACCTCAAAGAAATCGCGCTGTAAGTCAAATGGAATTTCTGGAGCGTCTTAGAATTCTTGACGTGTCTCCAGACAAGAACATTGTGGTATTGGGGGGCGTGGACTCTGTCGTCTTGGACTTTACACACATTGAATATAATATTTGTACAACATCCGTGATTGAAATATCCCCAGCGTAACTCTTGGTATGTTAGTGTATGCTTTTGTGTAAAGACGATAGTACCTGCCTTAAATCGCGTGTCGTTACCTAGGATACAGCAAGCGTGGTTTTCAACTGGGGCGGTTGATTAGAGCGCTGTCCTAATCCAGCGTCCTCTCCCTAATATACGTTAATAACGAAACCTACAAACAACAAAGACCTGATGGCCGAGTGGCAGAAGCTCCAAAGCCGTACTAGAGAAATGGTAACTCGTCGGATTCCTATTGTGAAAGCAATATCCGAAGATTCCGGGTTCAAGTCCCGGGTGCGGCCTATTTTTTTCTCCCCTTTTTACTTTAATCCCTACTATTCTCCTTTGATAATCAACTCCCATTCTTACCTATGCAGCCCTAAATTCTTCACAGATGGCCTTCCTGAAGAAAGTATTTGTACTAACAGGTGTACATTTTGTATATTTTAGGTACCTACATTGCTGCGTAATTATGTGACAGGTTTTGCATTTATGTTGTTGCATTACTAGAAAGTTGCCTTCGCCGAACGCCTTTACCCTTTTACATCATCTCTTGCCGCTTTACTCAGGGGAGGCTTGATCCTTGCTCACGACAGCTCAGGAAGAATATCAAAAGCAAGATAAGTAGAGTTACTCCGGCAAAGCTCGGCCATATCTGCTTACTACCTATTTAAGTAGAACTTCTTTTCGCGGCTTTGAGAGCCATATGTCTGAACTTCTTAGTTCCGCTAGGCCAACCCGGTGATATACAATATCTTCGTCCGATATGGCGACAAGCGCCATCATATTTCCATTCGTCCCACGACCAAGTATTAAGAAATAAAGACGTTCTGCATCGTCCGGGAAACTCACTACCGTGGTAAATACTCTAATCTCTGAAGAGGTCTGGACATCGGGCCAAGTCTCAACAATCAAATCCGAGCCCCCAGCCTGCATGGAATCATACACTTCGTTGCCTGCCACAACGCGGTACTTGATGTGCATCGTATGAGTGGAAGCTTTGTCATCCCATTCAATCAGCGTTTCTGGATTGCCCAAATAGACAACATAATCGAGATCTATTTGGCCGGTGATGGACATCCAAGACCATGTAGGCAGGTTGGGGATGGTATACGACTCCCCCCCAGGTGTAACTTTCCACAGCAGGCATGCTACCGCGCATGACGTCCAGATTCCGAAGTGGCATCTGTCTCCGTATGTAGTCGAGAGGAAGTCTACGATACCTGAAATAGCGTGTTGCCTGTCTTGCAAAAAACTAAGGTCGCGCCGGGTGTATTCCTCGACAAGTTCTCTCCAGAGAAACTCCAGTTCGTCGCTTCTATCATTTGCGCTCTCGGCGTCACCATCTCTACTATGTCGCACCATGTTGTTAATGATACGTCGGGGATAGATTGTTGCGCCCATGTACTGGATGCAGCTGTATGATTGGCGCATTACGTTGCAGGTTCGACATCGAATGAATGGCTCAAGATCTCCGAAGACAAGAAGTCGAGGAGAGAGTAAAGCTTCTTGATACGTCTAACCTCTCTTGTTGAGAGGGATTTTTTCTGTGTCCTGTATGTGAGGCGGCACCAAGGAGATCCTACTTGAGTTGCCATGAGGTAACACGTTTTCAGGGCCGAGGGACACATCCACTATGCATGAAGGATATCTAGTGCTAAGCTAGGCTACTCTGTTAAGGAAACCTTCAGAGGCGGAGCTAGATGTCGCTGCCGCGATTGTAACAGTAGCATTCTGGTATGTGGCGCACATTCGACCTATCTCGCGCTCTTTATCTTCGATACTGTCTTGAATGATGCACAAAGAGTCGATCTACAGATATTCCAATCCTAGGAGGCGTGTTATGATTACAGCATCATTCAAGGTTTGTGGTAATGTATCGCTATCAGTTATGTCATCTTGAAACTCATCAATGTTATCCTTGGTCAATCTTAACCGTTGTGGTCCTCCCCAGCAATAGCTAAGAGCGGCATATAACCGCATTTCATTCTCCTGGGATGTCACACGAAGTTTAACTCGCGGGGTGGATGTGTTGTCTCCGTAAATTTGTAGAAGTCGGCTGGGAAGTAGAGCAGGTCCAGAGGGTTGGCAAAGGGTATGCGTCTCTCGGCAAGCCCGGAGCAGACTATTTAACGAGACCTCCAAATCTGCGCTTAGACCGTTATACGCCAAAGGGCGTAGGTTGGTAAATATTCTGCAGGGATCATCTGTCCGGCGGCAGTAAGTCAACATGCGCTTCTTCAACACTCATCATAAGTTGCGGAACACACCGGCTGACGTAACTAGCTGCGATACACGAGGCGACTGCCAGAGCAAAGAACCGGTATCAGATTCGACAGTGATAACGATACCTCCAATGTCTTCTGTGCTTGTAGAGGGGCCTTCGATTGCGGAATAAAGCGTGGAGTAAAAGTTGAGTCCCATTTCTTTATTAGTAATGAAACCCCAGGAGGCCAATAACATGTTGACCTTCTGCTGACGTATGTTGCTGGAGGTTGTATTGACTAAGTCGCGTAGACAATGGGCGCTATAGGAAGCACGAGAATGTCTGATTAAGTCTGCAGTCCAAAGGTAGGAACAGAATCGGCAATCAGGACGATCTGAGAACGTCCCAAGGATTGAATGCCTAAACCGCTTAGTAGCACTGAGCTCGCGGAGCCCCTGAATTGAAAAGAGAAAGCAACACCGCTAGCAAAGGCCACGGCGGGTTGCATCATCTACCAACATAACGCGTGCGAGTCCAGCGTGAGATTAGACTAACTGCGATGGTGTTCTGTGAGTGCATTCAACGGGATCGCATTTTCTAAGAAATCGGTGAGCCCAAATTGGGCCGCCGTCGAAGCACGGACGGTTTACAAGCGTATTCGGTGAGCCCAGTAAGAACCACCGGTCAAACGCAGAAGGTTAGATTCCTGATAGAAAGGAGTAAGTGAGCCGCCCGCGAGCCGTATTGCAAGCCCGCGGGCTTCTAATCAAGATAGGAAATTTGCTAAATCTGGACCTTATTTTCGAGCTTCGCCACAAGACCCCTCCTATACCTCGCCTCGGGCAATCCCTGCGAGCTTGTTTTCGCTTTTATGAATGGTAGCTGTCGGTTGACAAGGTATGAGTGGAGGTATGGCTGTATACAGCACTTGAGGGTATCGCGATGATGATGTTCTTGGTTGAGTTGCTTACTACTTGATTACGTACGTGAGAGGACCTACTTAATACCTAGCTGATCTGATTGGTTGCCTAGTGCAACCAATTCACGTGACTAGCTTACGTAACAACATCATGTCAACAGTAGCTTTGGCCGGTGTGGCCGAAAATATTATTGATAATAATGGTAATTTCTCAGGGTATTTTTCAGGTGATGCATATATTTTTTAATTCAATTTCAGTGGGTTTTCTGTATGCATACCATTTTTGAGTTGATAAATTAGTAGAAAGTCCCTAGGATAATTGATCAGAGATGATTTATTCGCTATTGCTCAGGACCCTGTGTCTCTAGAGTGGGCATACTACGCTGTTTTGGTTGGAATAGTAGCTTCAGCATCATTTAGCTAATGCCGTCAGAGATAGCATATTGGCCAGGGTTCGTTCTTGAATTTGTCTTCCTATATGGTTCCTTCGCCTCGGAGCTTCGTTCACTTAAACCGGAAGGCCGATTTCACGGCCTTGGCTACCCCTTTCTTTACGTTTTCTGCCAAATCAAGACAAATGAGTGCTTTCTGTGATAAGTTGATGGATGGGCTCGAATAGCTGAACGTTGGCAGTGACTTGTAACAATTATACATAAGAGTTAAAGAGATGTCGTCTTTTTAGGGGATATATTCTACTCCTATCACGCCCCTATGCGATTTCTGAGTAGTTCCTAGTAAAGCATGCCATTTAATTATATATCGTACGAAAAGGCAAGGGGCTTGTATATTCAATGTTTGTAGTTATTAATGGGTACTCTTCCCAAAATACCATTTACAAATGCTCTTCTATCTAATGATGGATGACGCTCAACCTTGGCATATAAACATTCAAGAATTCTGTCTTCAGTGTGCGTTAATTATCTATGAAACATTTTATATCCATACGAATTGCATTGGTTTCTAACTGGAACGATAAACTCTGGCTGGGTTCGCTGGCCCTTGAGAGAGGGAAAAGAGGATAAGGTTGTCATCTGCCACCCCGGACTTTTAGTATCCTCAAAACTAATTTTGCTAAAGTGTAGGAGCCAACCTGGATATAGCTTCTGATATGGAAAGAGTTGGTGCCACCAGAGTTTTTATAACTTCGTATTTTATCTATGGTCTCATTGTCAAATTATCAACTATTCGGTACTGGCTACACAAGAGATAATTGATACACATTTCCATTATTCCAAGGATTGCTTGCAAGAAAATATTGGATAATTTTCAACGACATTAAAAAATACTACAAGATCCCAAGCATCATGGCCTTGTGAAGAGAAATCGAGACAAAAGAATTGAAGATAAGCACCGTGCTATGCTTTTATCATCCGATGTCTATCTGTGTGACTGAAGTGATGCTCTCCCTATACCCAACTTCAATGCTCTAGAATGTACGAGTATATTATTCAGATGTCTCGTGCATCAGCATGCTCCCAAACCCCAACTGCGTGTGCCTAATCTTTCCTAAGCAGAAGTGCCGCCTTTAGCCCGATTATATGCCGTACTGATTGTAGAATTATGGCAAATCAGCGCAGTCTGATTTTAGATACAAGATCAGTTTAGTGTTCGATTTGAAACTCGATGTATGTTCCTAATTGAGCAAGGTTTGAAACTTTAACGGATCAATTGCCGTCATTTTTAACCTGTTTTGGTTCACTCAATTTTACTAAACCATTCGCAGGTACATTGTACCGTTGTAGTTTGTAGCATGCCCTCCGGTACACGCGCAGCCCTGAAGCTCACTGAGGCCGCGCTGTATATCACCACCTACTGGGGCCGGAGTAGTGACTTAGAAGCTGATTAGGTGTTGACATAATGATCGAACTCTGAATTTATGGGTTCGTAGTACCTGCTGTCATACTTAGAACGCGTCAAACCAAGAGAAGTGATTTCCGTCAACACTAATACCTAACTTACCCGTAGGCTGAAATTCATTGCCTTCTCCTTCTTCACCTTTCCCATTACACCCCCAATCTCTCCCCCAATATCTGAACTACGCAAGGCAACCTCACCTGAACGCATTCGGACAGGACGACGCGAACACCTCGTCTTGTCCTTTTTTAATTGAATTGTTCCGACAATAGTTCAAGTCAACAACTCCTTCTACGGAACACCTTCTGAAGGAGACGGACGGA